CCTACCCCCTCCCACACACACACACACACACACATACCTCCCCCCTTCCACACACACACATACCTCCCCCACTAAATGAAAGAACGATTGCGTTTACTACTGAATCAATGTAGGGTTAATGATGAATGAATGAACGAATGTGGAATTGATGCATGAAGAAAGAATGAGTAAATGGCGGACTCCATTGATCACTCTACGAAGGTTCCTATAACTGATCACTGCACTCTTGCGGAATGATTGGACTTAGCCTGAGGGGAAAAAAGTATGAAAGTAAAACAATGGTTTTATCATACTAAATATAGAGGGATACAGTGAAGTTTGAGAGAAAAATTCTGTTCGCGACAATTGTTATCATTACAATATTACTATATAACATAAGATAAGAAAAAGATAAGATCTTTATTGTCCCAGAGGGAAATTTTTCTTTGCTGTACAGGACCGAAAAAACACATGCAGGTAAACGTAAAAATTAAATTATATTTCACTCTCATTAAAATTCAACAATATGAAAAGAAAAGTAAAGCTTACAGAATGCACACATCATATCAGATGCATCATTCGACCACATGCAGGAATTTTAATTACGAGACCTTTAGAGATAATATACAGATTCATGATACAAGTACACTTTCGAAACAACAGCACACATTTTGGAAGGACGGGGTTTTCCAGAAATGCCCAGATTGTATAGCAACTAGATTTGAACCTGTGCTAACCACTACTTGTCCAAGACAACCACCTGCACTAACGACCTCCCAATCCCACTTCATCCCTTACCCCCTTTTTTGGACCAATGAAGGCCTACTCTTCTGGCTGTCTCATGATCACTCGTTCGACTGTCCTCTTCAACCATAGCTCTGAGGGCAGAAACTGTAAGCGAAGTTGGTTTTGTCATTTGAGTGTTTGGCAGAACAGGTTTTCAAAATTTGCGATTCTTCCATTGGAAGGACTTCCGTAACGAGCGACAACCTTAACAAACACAGTGATGAAGAAACCTAGATCTAAATCTAACCCTGACCCAACCCCTACCACTACCCTTACCCCAAACCCTAACCCTAACCCTCTTTTCCACTCTATTTGTGAGGCAGCGTGGTGGAATCAGGCTCTCGTCAGTTTTTGGGCCGGTAGAGTTATTGGTATCATCTTAAAGCTTGTTCACTTGTCTTTATTTCGATGAAAAAAATATCCATTTATCTTGAATACAAGTCGAGATATTTGCGAATGAAGGGGGTGGAGGTCACCTGTTTTCAGAGGTGAAATTAGTGAGAAAATGGTCGCCAAAGATTAGTTATTTCCTTAGCTTAAGAGTCCGTGGTAACTGAAAATTTACATTTTTTGTGCCTTTAATGGGCATGAAAGGTGTTGAGCCATAAAAACAAAAAAATTGATAAAAATTAACAAACCAGCGGAAAAATGCAAGTTACTTCACTTTGATTATTTTGACGAGCGCCTGATTCCACCACGCTGCCTCACATTTCGTAGTGGTCGGTCGTTACGAAGGTCCGTCCCCTCCCATTTTTAAAAGCAGTACCCAGCGAAGAATTTGTTGATCTGAAGCCCAAAGTGCTCAGTGCATCAGGCAGTTAAGCTCCATAGATTTTGGGTGCTTTTTTATCGTCGCTGTGCAAACCTTTACCTATGACCGAATATGACTTAAAGTAAGGCTCATTTTCTCCACGTTTATTTTAGTGGTGTCATTTACGAGATGTAGTTATTTTTCTAATTGACCAAACTGGATAAAACATAAAGTACAGCATCAGCGGACAAACATTTTTTAGAGAACATCTTTTTCTTCCAGATGGCACGGTTTAGTGTTCGGCTAATCCCGTAGTCTCATTTTGTCCATAGCCTCATCGTAATGCTTTCAATAAGAACGAGAAATTTAGCGGACCCCGGTGGGATTCGAACCTCAGACTTCTCCAAAGCAGCAGATAAAGTTTTTAACCTACAGCCACAGACAGCACCACATCGACTGTTTCTGAGGAGTGTTTTGTTTGCACTTTGTTTTGTCTTTTCTTTTCTATTTTTCTTTCTTTTTTTTGTAGTTGTCCCACGTCCTCGGCCTTGGACAAGTTATGGTCGTATTCCACCGCCTGTCATGACGTATGGGCAGCTCGCGTGAGTTCTCGGGCTAGCAGCTCCAACCTGGGGAAGTCCATTCACGGACACGAAACGACACAGGGGGTGGTACGGGGGTGTACAGGGACCTACTGTCTCTCTCCTTTTTTGGGGG